TTTAGAGTCTACGACGCATAAAGATTGCTAGTAGTTAAAAGCCTAACTTGGAAATAGTAGGTCACTAACTGTTGTGTGTATTTTCAGCTGAACACATGAGGTGAGTCACGCACTTTCGACGGCCTAAGCTGAATCTCAAACCGTGTTGATCATCATCTGCTCTCCCGTGATTGGTTGACACGACACATACAGCCCCAAATCATTAAACTCCCACCACCAAATTTAACTGTCCCCTTAACATTCTGCTCTGTCATTATTCCACCAGCCCTTTTCCACACCCACTCACGTCCATCAGACCCCAAACGATTAATTTTGGTCTTATCTGACCAAACAACATGTTTCCAATCCTCTGTGGTCCAGTGTTGGTATTTGGTGGCAAACACAAGACGCTGGTGGATATGTCATGGCATAAGTCTTGGCTTCTTTTTCTTTGTTACAGCCTTCATTCCAGTTTCTTTCAAAGCACGATGTACTGTCTGGGTGCTGAGTGTTACATTGGTGGTCTCCTTTAATGCATGGGTGAGCTGAACTGCATTATCTGCTTTTCCTGAAGCCACCATGCGAACCAATCTACGCTTGTCATTTGCTGTAAGCTTAGCTGGTCGTCCACCCTGACTTTTTTTAAGCTCAGGTCTTGACTTGTCACGTACTCTATCCACTGTTGTGTGACTAATACCTAGCTGTGCACCTATTTTATATGATGAAAGTCCATTGTCAAGGAGCACAACAATGCTGTTATGGGTTTCTTCAGAAATAGGCTTCATATTGAAATTTGTCAAAGAAAATAGTAAGAAGTTCAAGCAATTTTTATTGTGTAAACAACAAATGTGTAAACAACACGTTTTTTGATGGTTTTAATCGAGTTTGGGTACCCGTGTTACGTTATACATACCTTCACCACATATCAGATCAATCTCCAAGTTGCGGAATGCTGGATCAATGAGAGGACTCCATATGTTGTGTTGATACCACCCTTCCAATCTTGATGATGGGTTCAGCGTGAAGTTGTTATTTTTTTCCCAAAGAGTATGTATAGCACGATATGCATGATTAATATAATTCAAGTCAAAATGTTCTTCATTGGAGTATGAAGTATTGTTAGGCAGGAAGGGTTCAAAAATGATTTTGCGAAATAGGGGTAAATTAGTTACTGAATACTTTTTCAGTAGTTCAGTAATTGGTTTAGCGATTTTGGGCACATGCTTCAAGTTGGTAGAAAGTATTTCTTTCCATTCGTCATTTCGAAATAAAGCCCGTGTTTTCTTATCGACATCGTTAATAATAAAAGAATGCAGACAAGATTCATGTCTTAAGGTGCGTGCATATTCATAAATGACTTTCTCTACGATACGACCAGATGATTCCAGTGTCCACATTTGTGTCGGGTTTAGACTCTGATAGATAAGGTCAAAGCTGGCAAATGTATTGACTTCTTGTTCATCTCCGTTTTCGCTGTCATTCTGTTCGTTTCCGTTTCCATTATCTTCTTCGCTTTCGTAATTATTAATGGCTTTCGGTCTCTTTGTTTGAGGAGTTTTCATCTAAATCGCAAGGAAGGTAATTACACAGAACGCCTTAGTAGGTTATTTTATTCCCAAACAATTGGTTCAATAATGGCCTCACCTTTTTCGTCTTCTTCGGCAGGGCTACATCTGCTTCATCTGCTGTTTCTTCTCCATCATCTCGACGATGTTTTCCAGTTAGACGACGATTATCAATATTATCAATAGACACAGTATTACCAGTCGCGAGCACTTGTTGTTGAACCTAATTGAAAACGTTATACTCGTGCTATTTTTCTACGAAATTTTCAGTTAGAATCGTACCTGATGAAACTCGAACTTGAAACCTGTATCATCGCCCGTCATGGTCCAATCCTTGATACATAAGAATGCAGAATTAGCGGCGCTCGTAAGAAACATTATACAATAAACAGAAATACAAGCAAAGAAAGCGTCGAACCAAGAGTTCATCACTGTAGACCAAGAGTCACAGCTTGCGCTTTCTTAAGTGTCGAACCAAGAGTTCATCACTGTAGACCAAGAGTCACAGCTTGCACCCGGGAAGAACCAAGAGTTCATCACTGTAGACCAAGAGTCACAGCTTTTCCCTAACTTGTAAAATCTCTATCTTATTAAGAAAAACCATACTTTCCAGTTGTCAATGATTCTTTGAGCTTTTTTCTTACGCGTCGGGTCAAATTCAGAGTTCGCCTCTTTGACTTTTTTAAGATCTTTGTTTATGCTATCCAGTAATCTTTTACGGGATTGCTGTCCTGATGTATCACGATAAAACTCTACAAGGTTTTTGCAAGTCCAGTCTTCAACTGCTCTATTTTTGTAAAAATCCATCGCGTTGAAAAAAAAGGGAAGAGGGGGACGACACGAGGATATACACACCGCCGATCACGACATTGTGTGTAACATACAGTCAGACGCATACTAATTTATGTCATATAACAGAATGTTCACTTTGTCTGGTTTTGTTGCAGCATGCCCCAAATGAACATTAACGTCAACACATGATGAACCAAGAAAGAAAAGAAGACTGGCAGAATAAACAATCCAATTATTACTAATCATCATCCTCTTCATCATCCTCTTCAGCAGGGGAATTTCATCATTGAGCCAGCAGTTTTCTTTTCCAGATGGCTCAACCAAGACTACTTAGGAGAAGGAGAAGAGCAAATCCAGTTGCTCAAGCAGAAGGATTATTAATTCTTCAGAAGCCTTCTTCCTATACCCACAAAATGAAATCAGCCAAAACAGAGAGTTCTTGTCAAATTAAAGGTGTCTTGAAGTTTCCATATTGATGGAGAAAACCAAAGAAGATTATTTCATCCTGATGACTTAGAATATCCTTAATATTAAGGCAAGAGATATCTGCTGGTTTAGTACATCTTGGATTGTTCTAATAGAATTTAATATTAACACAAATTCCTCTCATATTAATATTAATATGGGAACTTCCTTAGTAAAGTCTAAAATAGACCATAATATAATTAGAGTTTTCGAATATCTTTTTAGTTTAAAAACATAAGGGTTCTCGTTAAAATGCTGCAATTCTTTGATTAAATGTAAATTAATTTCATATACTAATACATAGAGATAACCAACCCTGTTATAATTATAATATCAGGTAAAGTTTATTCAATTACGTTGAGTAATCATTTGGTATTATAATTGGTATGATTAAAAGTATAATTTACATAAATTTGTATATTAATATTAATATGAGTCACAGATGTGATAATTAACGAATTTAGTAATTTACTATTTCAGCCAAATCAGCGAGCACGCCAATTTACAATAATAAAAGTAATAAATCTTTTGGGAGCCATAGTATACGAATTGCAATTGTTTATCTTTTGTGCATAATTTTCATTCTTCCCAAACAAACAAAACAGCATCACTCATGTACACGCTGGCAATAGAATGTTTACTGCCATCTTGAGGGATTGAATAAACGACGCAGGCGTAAATATATCCTGCATGAACCGGAAGAAGATATATTTCTGACTTTGCGTTAGTTCCATTAAACATAGAGGGCTGTGGCGAAGTGTGGATAATTAGTCCACGCTATCCAGAATGCGTTTCATTTCTTATGAAGTCTCTATTCATGCTGTCTCATAACAACGGTGATTCGATTTTACTAATAATAAACTTTGATAAAAGTCCCAACCTTTTGTGGTTTCTATTACGTCATATTCCGATCACAAAAATTAACACGGACTATCGACCTAATTTAGATAAGTGATGATATAGCAACAACTAGAGTACATAAAATTGCACGGGTATAATAATAAGAAGAATAATGGATCGTTTCTTGGGCCGCTATTACGAAAGAGTGCGCGACTCTTAGCCACTAACGCAAAAAGTACTTACAACAATGCATAAATTACTTACCAGCTTCTCAACAAAAAAAAATTTTATATTTTTTGTATACTCGATGCGAGAAAACGTTTGCGAGTTTCTCGACAGACAGGTCAATAACATTCAGTTGCGCAAATTCAAAGTCTTTCTATTCAAAGAAGGTGTGTCTTTTTGGCTCGTAAATTATATTAACAACCATACCATGTACAAGCTGTCTCTTTTGAGTTGGGACTCTATTCAGAATTAATCGCCAAGAAAATGAGCATTTGGCACCATACAAATAAGAGCGTTAATCATTCTAACGTATTTTAGCCATTCATGGATATTCACATTAACCGGGCTTGGATTTAGTAAAAGTGAAGTAATATAATATTTATAAATAGTTCTTCTCACAATACGAATATTATGGCTTTAATTGCACAACCCCTTTAACTCGTGGCGCTCCCGGTTTGCCCTTAATAAACATGGCATAGCGCATTCGCGCGGCTGAGCAAATGAAGCGTGTCAAATATGGGCTTGGCATTGATTTAAGTGTCACAAAAATGTTTTCCCAGCTATTTTTGTGGCTGTTCCAGGCTTAGTAAATCCCGTCCCTTTTCACAACGCGCGATGAGGGGCTTCGGTATATACAACGATATAAAAGCATTAAGCTTCGGAATATAAATAACACGCTAAAGGTCTTTGCCACTGCTCTTTCTGATACGCAAAAACATACAAATATTACCACCGTTATAGTTTACTAGCAAACTATACACAACATGGTAGAATGCTGTTGCTGTTGGTGAGTTGGAAAGAAAGTCGGGCTGGGATTGAATCTTGACTTTTATACAATATCTCTAATCCTCTATTTCTGTCACAGTATCCCAATACGATTGGGGACTATCATTTTAGCAGCCATTGCGTTGGTAAAAATCAAAAACATTTACGCAACTGTTTATTCGATAACGATTCTCGCTAATTAATATTCTCTGTCTAGGCTGCATCTATTGCGAATATGTCTCTAATATTGACCCACCATGATACTTATGTCGGCGTGGATCATGGGTTACGGATTTTATTTGCAGCTCTGTACGGTCTCATGGCACTCATTTCATTCTTTGGCATAGTCGGATCGGTGCTGGTATGTGTATATGCCCCCAAGAAATCAACTCGCATCTATCCGTAAATCATTTTTATTTTTGCCTCACCAATTCTTCCATTTTGTTCTCTTCAATTAGTCAAATCGTCGTGCGGTTCGTCTTTTCTCGAATACCTTGTGGTTCATAGTAATCGTCAACCTAGTGCTTAACGTTGCCACCCTCGTCGAGATGTTCCAACACAAACAAGAGCTTATTGACGCATGTGTAGGGAATGTTACTTCAGCTGTCGGCAATGAATTAAACAATATCACCGGGCCTGCGGACAACACCTTCATCGGAAATAGCGTTAACAGCACTACTACAGATATCACTAATTCAGTGCAAGATAAATCGAGAAGTGCCTGTGAGAAGATTGTCAAAATTAAGTTGTGGGCTACAGTTATTGGATATGCTTTGTTAACCATGGTGATGGTACGTATATGTACCGTTTGTTCTAAAGCATTCGAGATCTATGTTTGATACAGCGTATATCGAGGCTTTCGTCCTATTCTTTCTTTATGTTGCACATTTATGCTAATTGGAATGTTATATCGCTCTATTTATTACCAGTTTTACTTCGCAGGAGTAACACATCGTTTTGCCCGACAACTCGAACACGAATTCCGTCATCACAGGCTCAAAAGTCACACTGGATACAGAGGAGGAGCACGACAGTCAAGTAGTCGGACTTCGGTTGCAATGTCAAGCGTATGATCAGGTGGGCGTGGTTTAGGAGAAAGGAAGAATCTATTAGAACGCGTTTTAGAGCATAATGGTATTTATGTCGTCTGTTTTGGACACGGGTGTATATATAAATCTGAATTAAATAAATCCAAATGATAGGATGCAAAGTTATTACACGACTCGTATGTTTCCCAAGCTAATTAATCGATATGAACTGCCAAAGCAATTTGACAGCACGTCAATGCGATCTACTGCTATTTGCTCTCTGTAAAGTCACAATCAACAATAGTAATCCTTTTACGACACGATGGTATAATCCAACCTCTAAACCAATCCACCTTAATGAGCGTTAGATAGACGCCAATCCTCATAATGGCAAGAGAACATTTTGCTGCAGAGACAATGAGATTGTAAATATGACTTTCTGGAAAGTATGTAAATTGTGGTATCGAATTAAACGGATTAACGTGACTGCTTACAAGTGAGGAACAAGAGACTGGAATACAAAGAATGCCAGATCACAAGTTATAACGTTGACATTACTGCATATTAATAAAGTTCTCGATGAAGACAAAATAATAGGCCAAATCCTTAACTATAATTGTATAGACTAAGATTGTAAAAGCTATCTTCTCTCCATCTATTTTATCGCGATCATCGGAATAAAACGAGAATTCATTATTCATTATCAGGTACGAATTTATCCTTATACCTTATCCAATTAATCTTTGCCCGTCTTACAGTTTGAGCCCCTGGAAGGGTCACGTCATGATCATTTTGCCTGGTTTTGCCGCATGCAAGGCGTCCTAATTCTGACACAAACCGATCACCTACATTGATTGGTTGATCCTGCAATGATAATCAATAATTTGTAAACAAAAAAAACTTAAAAACGTTAAAACGAAAGGTCGACATTTTAACCTTTTCCAATAAGGTCAATTTAACAAAATTGGCGACCACGTTAGAATTATAACAAGTTTCGCAGAAATCAAGTTTTCTCTTATAAAAGTTAGAAATATTGTTAATAGCAATATACTCACATCGGGCGTAGCAATAAACTAGTTGCAGCTGCGGAACGTCTTACAAAAAACCAGTCAAATTGTTTAGCGGAACAATTATTCTATAAAGAATTTTTTCTTGTTAATACTGGCTGAATGATAAGCGTGACCCGACATTTGAACGAATCGTCCCGGGGGCAGTTCTCATTTTACAGGGGTATTTTTAAGCTAAATTTTTGGGTCGTCAGCCCCCTTTATCCGTGAGAGTTTTTCTCTTTCAACAGCGAGGGCAAATGGTCAAGTTCTATCAGCATACTTATAAATACGAGTAAGTGCATCCGAACGTTCAAAAGGAAAGATCTTTAATAAAAGATTATATATATAATTAAACATTCACTCTTCTCGCCGAATATGTTCTGTTGTTTCGTGTTTGTTGCGCAGTCACATTCTTTACTTTGCAATCTTGTTGACTTCCCTCTCTCATACTTTTATCATGCATATCAGTTACCCATGGGATAGCGTCACTCTAGCATTTTGGCTACGCTACCCTAACCCGTTTGCAAGTCATGTTTTAAGTGTCGACGTTATCGACAGACATGTTGATCAGAAGACGAGAACATTAAGAACTACGAGATTAATTTTGAAATGGGGCGGGTTGAGTGTTTTACCGAAATGGGGAAGAGGGGTAAGTAAGAAATCGAGGATGAAATGATGGTGGATCAATAGACCGTGTGAGATATATTTTACCATACGAGTTTGTTTGACATGGTCTTTTGTGTTTGTTCTTCCGTTCCATGTCATTGATAAATATTTTAGTATAGTGACAACTGACATTATTTCTAATCTTTATTCTCTTCAAGCTTGTAAAAAACCCAATCGCTCTCGTGCTCGAAGAATCCGAAATAAATCCTCATACTCAAACTATGACGACACTGACGCGTAACATAACCCACGCAAGAATGATGCAGGTGGAAGAATGGCAAACTTTTCGAGTTGATCCAAACGATAGCGGGAAGACGCAGGTGAAAAGTGAGGCGAGGATTATTAGTAAACTTGGTTGGGGACTAACGGAGAAAATCGAGCGGTTTGGGGTTAGAAAGTTTGCAGATAACACCAAAAAGGTCAGTATTCAAAAGGGAGAAGCAAACTTGTTAGAACGGAATCTAGGAAAGGAAGGTCACATATGAATGGCTATTATAGTGATAATGACGCGTGGTCTGTAACTTCATGTATTCTGACAGCATATTTCTATTTGTTCACAGAGTCGAATGGGAATGTCACATGTACTAGAAATGATTCGCGAAAATAAGTTTGGAGGCGGGTTCATGCCTGGTGCTCGATGACTTATCCAACTACACTCGCATATATCGGTTGGCGTACTTGCATCCTTGCACATTCCTCTTTCACCTTTATCAGTATTGATGTTGATGTTGATGTTGGCGTTTGTTGTTTCTGACAGACAATTCGATCAGTTTAATTCTGATTTGTAGTCATGTATACCATCACCACGAAACCAGACAAACGAGCAAAAAGAAAAAAACGAGTCCAGGGTTTAAGCTCACCCTTTTTTTTTGAAAATTTTTTTTGTTTCGTTATTGACACCATAATTATTTAGTATTAGATAATCGCTAGACTGTACAAAGAGATCCCCCATTTCTTTTTCCCCTTTGTTAACCGCCTAGTCGGTTCTTTTGATCAATTCAGTAACTTTTTCGTTTCATCGAACAATGTGAACACCCATTCACTTGACCTATATAGGTCGATTCCCTAAATCATCAGAAGAAAAAACGTCAATTTGATAGTTCGTTAACGCATATCGAGCTTCTGGGTCTACATCCTTCTAGTCGATGTAAGAGGATCACTAGCAGTTGGCAAAACCTTCTGCTTGGTATAACGTTGTTTCTTGAGGACGGTTGTGGATGCTGTTTTATGTATTTGATTTACCAAGCCAAGTTGTAAAGATGTGTAGTAATGGTTACTCAATTAAAGTCAAGTAAAAGGAAAATAAAGTTTAACCGAATTTCACCTATCCTCTTAACAATACAAAACGGAGTGATCATTAATGAAAAGCGTAATATAAAGTGGTTTACACCATTTCGGCATTGTCAAATCTGAAAATACGTCTCATATGCCCATTCCCCAATACTAAATTTACCACGCGCATTTCGTGTAATATGAATTAGAATTTCTTTTTAAATGATTTGGGTGATAGAACCTGCTAAATAGCAATACAACGTGAATGTGGGATCAATGATTAGTAATATCTTCGGATAAAACGAGTATCTTCAAACTTATAATGCCGTCAATTTGCCCGAGCAGTCATCGCTTCTAATGATGGTTTGCTGTAGATGTAGGCGTTGCATTTTCAAGCCAGATATTAAAAAAGAAGACGTTTGCTACTAAAAGTTTTACTACCAATGTCCTGTATTATGAAATTCTCCGAGAATTCTGAACATAATGTTGTGCTGCGCAGAAACCGACTCAATTTTAGTTTTCAACACGTGATGGCCTCACCCTACGACGCGTTGTCCCAATCATTACTCTCATTTCCCTTCTGCTTTAGCATGTCAGATCAAAGGAGCATGGACGGTTGTGAGGAAAGCATATGGGAAAGAGTGCAAAGTGAAGTCAAGCAGGTTTAAATCGGCCATGTACCTCTCATTAAGAGTTATGTCACAAATTAACCAACTAATGTCTACCTGATACAGGGACAGCTCTTGTCATGGGACACAACTTATTCTACTTCCTACGCACCAGTTCCCACTGCATACATAACGGAACAACCAATATCGACATACGAGACTCTGTTCAAATTCCATTTCTATAACGGATACTCTTTCGATGGTTGTGAAGCGGTTCTTTCGCGGGAATGTCTGATGAAGGTAAGAATATCGCCGTTCAATATGTAAATTGGGTGGAATACTAAGAAAGAAAAACAGCGAGTGATCGAATGTGGTTAAAGCTTTGGTCTACATTGTGAACTCTAGCTTGGTATATCAAAAGTTGATTTGATACATTATTACTTCCCGTTACGGCTTGTTACTCATTGTAATTATGATGTATCTGAACTAGGATATCTATAGTTTGATTCTCGGACTATCTTCTAAGACCTTTGTTTATAATGAAGAGAAAAGGGAATTTACTGCGAGAATGGAACAGATACGCATCGATGGATGCAGCGCAAAGAGTATGAATATGTAAATGCCTTGGTGTAATTACGTGCTAGAGGTCAAAGAAAATTATCTGACATGAAATGAACTGTGGTATTCTGATACGCACATCAACGTAAACGTTAATAATCATTTCATTCTATTCACTGTACTTTGTCATAAAGAGCGTTGACACGCTTTTTAGCATTTGGAACTCACTTGAATCGTCTGGATAACGTCGCTTCAAAATGCGAGAAACATCCAAGGTATTTCTATGTTTCTCCGTCAAAATACCGTTAAAATAATACATCTAAACAGTATTTTTATCCCAATCGTTGTTATCAAAGATTATATGGCTTGGTCGGATTGGCATTTGGACGCTCTCTGTCCGCCTGTTTGCTGCATGTTAGGTCTGCCATTGTGGCATTGATGGAGCAATCGGGGGGAATTGAAAATATCGATCTGATGGAGTTATATCACATACTTGACGAATCATCACTCGTACTCGAGAAACTGGCTGTATTCTGTCATTGTGTAAGCCATAAGATACATTACATCATAACGTATTTAAGACAATTGAATCTAATTTCTCCATGCGTGCTATCAACAGGACATCTCCAATTCTGCTCTCCTTTGCCTTCCTAAAGAAAACTTATCCCAACACTCGGCCGAAGGATTTTATCTTCCATTTGGCTCTTTTCTTCTCTCCTCTCTGTATTCTCTAATATCCCCGATGGCCAGTAATACTTCGCCATTCCTCAAGACTATTTTTCTCTCACTTTTTGCACAGTGTTACCATCCATATTTGCAGATGGTGAATGAATGGATTGGGTTGGACTCAGAAAACAAATTAGCATTGATATGGGGTTCAGGAAAAGAGAAATATGATGACGAATGGGGAGAATTCTTCATTGAGAGAGGGGACGAGGAGAACGGCAAGGAGGGAAACGAGTGGATGAATGCGAAGGTAAATCGAACTTGGGTATCATCGTCTATTAGCGGGCATTCTATAGAAATGTATATTGTAGGAACTCGTATTGATTTTTTTGTTTTTCGATTCATTGACGATGTATAGATAAGTAAAAAGAACCCTCCGCCGACGTTCATTTCTGTCGAGGTGGCACGTGATATATTGGAAGCTGGAAAGGCTCTAAGATTGCTGCATGACTGTTGTCCGAATCATCATTTGTTTCAATCAACTAGAGCAAGTGATTTGTTAGATAAAATAATACCGCCGTCCCCGTCTTCTATCCTCTCAACGTCGTTCACAAATCTCTCAGGAACGCTTCCAGTTACTAAAACGTCAACACTGACTCTCTTAGAACATTTGTTATCCACATATTCCTCGCCATCATCGTCTCCAATAACAACAGTAAGAGAATCGGTCTTATCTCACGCACTTCTAACCCAGTGTCGGTTAGTTAATATGTCTATTTTGTCATTTTTCTTTCGCGATCTATCTCTCCGTTCTCATCTCAAAGTATTGCGAGAATACCTACTTATGGGGAATGCTACGTTTATGAATGATCTTTCAGACGCATTATTCGCCGACAACGTTGATTCTGGAATTGACATTGGTGTTGCAACGAGCAGAAAAAGAGCAGGAATTGGATTGGGTATGGGTATGAACAGCAGGAGGACATGGCCACCAGTAGGGGGAGAGTTAAGGATGGCTTTGAAGGCTGTTATTGTGGAAAACGTTATGAAAGGAGCAGGATGGGGGGGTGAAGAGATCGCCCGAGGAGATATTGTGGGATTGGATAATATGCTTATGTTTGGAATTAAGAATGATGAAGAATGGGAAGTCTGCAAAGATCCAAATGGTAGTATTGACTGTTTAACAAAATGTTTGATGAAAAATAATATCGAATATTTACTTGTCAATTGTGAAATATCTGACGTTTACTTTTTTTTTGTTTACAGCATTAGAAGCACTCGATTTTCTTTACCTCGATTACAGGCCACCCTATCCCATTAACGTGCTAATAACACCAGATCATCTCGTCAAGTACAACCAGATATTCACATTACTCTTGCGTATATTACGACTAGGTTCAGTTGTATGTCATATCTACCGTAGTTCTCACACTCGCTCGATGTATACTACTACCCACATAACGACTCAGAAATTCCGGTTTGAATCACATCAATTCATAATCGCTCTACAATGTTATGTATTCGACGTTGCCATTGATTCAACGTGGAGTTTGTTTATGAAAAAATTGGACAATAAGGCCAATGAATTGGAAGCAGATGGCACGAACAGTGAGATGGAAATCGAAAATGATGGGTGGGGTGATGGAGATGATGGTTGTAATGTGAAGGATTTAGATACGCTGAAGATATATCATGAGAAAATGTTGGATAGAATGGTGTTTCTGTGCCTGTTAAAGCCCAAGCAGGAGCCGATAATGAAAGTAATTAATGCAATATTAGTTGTTATTTTGGCATTTGCAAGATTACTAAACGTGAGAAGGTATAATGAGGAGGGGTTTGATGAGACCGATCAACAGGTAGAAACGTTGTATGAAAAGTTTAGACTATACACGGCAATGCTAGTGAAGATTCTTGTTGCACTCGATGAAAAAGGAGGGGGGCGTGTCAACAAGACTGGCCTGCCTAGTAACAAGAGATCTGAATCATATACTCCTGGTGAGGGATTTTTACAGGCATTATTGTTAAGAGTGGATTTCAATGGGTATTATAAAGAAATAGTAGAGCGTGAACTGGCAGAGAAAAGAAATAAATAAAATAATGATTTGTAGCAAAGCGACGCTGTCATAATGATTTTATTATCTATAGCATCTGTTAATATTAAATATTCCGCCTATCATTTAAATTCCATCTTAAGAATAAGAATGTTCCAGTGTTTTTTAAGTGTCACGTTGTAGTACAGATTGACGTGTCAATACAACTTCGCGTCGAAACAAGTTTCGTCAGAATTCTATGGCAAAGCAGAAGAAAACACCCAGTGCGAAGGCAGACGGTGGTATGTTGCCAAAAACTTTTTCACTAGCCTTGTTGCAACGTACTGACTTACTGTTTACATCGAGCAGAACAGCTAGTTGTAGACTATCTACGAAAGCAGAATCGTCCCTATAGTGCTAGTGAGTGACATGCCATTTCAAAGCAACATAGACTAAGCTGTGAATTTCTAATTATCCTACAAATTTGTTAGCTGACATTGTCAACAATTTACATGGAGCGATAACGAAAACCGTAGCTCAGAAAGCGCTAAATGCTCTCGCAGAAAAAGGTGAAGTGACGCATAAGCCATATGGGAAGCAATCGGTTTACGTTATAAACCAGGTACCAGACATTGGACATTGTTGATGCAGAATACTCACTTTGACTATCAGAACATTGTGGATGTCTGTGTCGGAAGAGTGGACTAATTTTATTTTATTGTTACATTACTTTCAGAATCAATTCGAATTACCATCATCTGATGACTTGGCCTCGATGGATGTGAAAATAGATACATTGAAAACAGAGATTATGGAGTACACGGAGAAAAATAAACAACTTCAATCAGGTGCATATTAGTATTATTATTGGTAACATCGACGAGTGCATAATTTAATTTATTACATCGCATGTCCTTCGTATCAAACACTAACTTAACGATTTATGTCAGTGCTGAATGGATTAAATAATTCTCTGACAAACGAGCAAATTAAAGAAAGGTGAGCTGATAATTCTTGAATCAGTTGATTATTCCTGCCAAAAATATTTTAACACGCCTTTCAAAACAAGATTGAAGACTTTGGAAGATGAGGTATTGAGTATTATAATCGTTATTTGACAATAGTCGTCGCGCTTTTAATAAATTAGTCATTTCTTGTTTCTCAATTGAGTGACTTGTTTCTAATTCAGAATAAAAGAAATGAGGAACGATTGAATATTTTGAGGTCAGGCACAAAGCAAGTGTCAAGTGATGACAAAAAGAGAATAGATGCTTCTTATGAAATGAATCGAAAGTTCTGGAAACAGCGAAAGAAACTGGTTAGAATTACACGTGAACGTTCTTGTCAAATCTTTATAATTCTTCTCATAATTGCACGTATTATGTTTTTCAATTTTAGTTTGACGATATCTTCAAAACACTTATGGAATACATTCCACAGAAACCACAAGAATTTATTGTATGTGATAGAATACTACGTTTGTTAATCCGTTATCACGAAAAAGCTCAATAGCCTTGACTCTGTAGGAGGAAATTGGAATCGAAGAAGATCCGATAGATATAAATGAAGACCCGTTGGCTAACATATAGTGGTAATGTAATTACACAAAGATATCTCATATTAATATATTAATATGTATATATACTAATAATGTCTTTAGATAAAATCTTTCCCTCCCTCTTCCTTTCATTGTTCAACCTTACCAAGCTGCAGAAAGAGTATTTGCAAAGGAAAAACAACAAACTAGAATAATATAATACTAAGTTCTCAATGTTTGCTTGGAGTCAATTGAGCCTGGGGACTGTGGAGTTCCAGATGGACTTGTGTTTCCCTCAATACATGTTTGGGTAAATTTAAAAACCTGTATACTCCTAACCCCCATTTCAATGTTAATTATGCCCAGATCTGTGTCGTTATTGATAAAAAAGTAGTAGTAGAACTCTTTACGTGGTAAATTGAAGCTTCCAAAAAAGTTATGCTTTTTTTTTACCTTGGCAAATAGTTTGTCATCCTCAAGGGCATTATTTCTAAGAAAGTGAAATAGTCACTGAATATGAAGCTTAATTCTTATTATTATATTAAAATCTTTAGCAAAAGATACAATTTTGCAATACGTCTGCTAAGTTAATTTGGTCAAATGACGATGTAATAATAACACTACTCTAATCAAAGAGTTAGGACACCAAAGTAAGTTTTGGTCCACAAAAGACAGCCCACAACCTATATTAATATTACTTTAGTTTCTGTTCTTTAGCGTTTAACATACTTCTCATATTAAAATACTTGAACTAATTAAACTAGTTGGTTCAGTTGCATTCAGCGATGATTGTTTCTTGCCTTGTCCTAACCGTTTATTCCAGTTCACGTGAAGCGGGTTAATTAACTAAATGCTTGATCTCTATATCTTCATACATACATAGCAGCGTCTAGTAGATTTAAGGTTTTCTGTTTAAGAAAGTTTCGTTATTTGTAATTCATACTGCTGGAAACATTGTTAACTTTAACAAGACAAATGGGATCATGATGCTATAGTCAATTTGGCAGTAATTTCTTCTGATTTGTCATACTTAAAGAGACTGGCTTCCTATGATTGACTGGGACGAACTTTTTTAAGAGCTGTCGTATAAGGGACAATCATGAACACAACTATGTTCATGAACACGATCTGATACAGCAAGCGTACCTGAGAGTGATAACTGGAAGCGCTTCAATTGATTGATCATATGCATGTAATGGTATGATGTATTACATACCACAATTAAACAAAGTATGGAAATAGTCCAATAGCTGTAGTAATAGTAACGTCGTTATAAACGATGATCTACCTAGAACATTCGGTGAAGCCGTGAATGCTATATGAAGTATTGATCTACATGTGCTTATTATTATGACGGGCAGCATATTTATTTACATGGCACAACCGAGAATTTAGTGTTTAGAGAACGTTCTCGAAAGACACTTCTATGTAGTTTACTGGGTCTAGATTGCATAAAACTGTGCTTAACGGATGAACACTCACACTGTCTGTCTATAACAACGACGTTATCTTATGGATACGCTTTGGTTCTAGCAAAGAACATTTGTAGTCAATAACAAAGCATCATTGAGAATTGCATAAAAATAGTATTCTTTAAACATGACGATATAGTCATTAATGTACCGATTGACATTCACGGGTCAAAGTCTTCAAATGGACAAAACTCTTAAGCGGTTGTATCACATTTCACTTTGGTAATCTTAGATCGCTGACCTATTTCCTTTATTTTCTTAATTTTCCGAAGCATCCAGTTATCCTGATCCTCTAGTTCTAAGGAAGCTTGTGTGTCAGATCAATACATGCCCATAGGATTATAATGACGTGCCAGAACTGAATAATAATAAACTTGTTTAGTCCAGGCTTTTCTTATCTTATTGACGTTGGAGCCCCGGCTAGTCAACTGATGCATATCTCAAATAGAAGTTTCTTCCTTCCACTACAGACAGTCATTTCGGTGAGATACTAAAACAACCAAATTGATCACGAGATTGAGAGATAAACCCATTAGCTTAACTTGTACGGGTAAACTACAAAATACTGTTCTGTATCCAATTGATTGTCCCGGCTTGTGACAAAAATTAATATCCAAAGTTATAGTTCGATGGATGCGTTACACCTCACCTTTACTAATATTTGGTAAAGATATCAAATTAATATACTGTATTCCAAAGAAAATTAATGACAATCTGCGTATAAATTTAATTTGTGAAGAAAACAGTAAGCGAACAGTCAAAGACATAAATTGTCACATGAGATTACTACAAACCATTAACATTTACACGGTTTGTTATTATAGTTCAAGATTCTACATCATCAGAGAGCATTTTAAGACCTGTATATTAATATGTGTTATTTAAGTGTATAGACTGTTGATTTGATTGTTGATTAACGTATTATCAGTTAAACCATCTTACAATATCGCCTTCGTTAGATAATTCTTACCGAATTATATCATTAATGAGTATGCCGTTTTTTATAACGATAAAAATTAAGGGGTTGTAGGTCCCAAGTTTTTGTGCAAAGCGCCTTGTTTCTGAGCACATTGATTAATCGTGCAAGATGCCGTTTATTATTCACTTATTTTCGTAAATAAGTAGAGACTCGCTTTTTTACCTGAAAATTTGACATCAACAATTCAGTTATCAATGTGCTGAGGACGTTAAATACAAAACAGATGTCTCCTATAACAATAAAGAAGAAAAACAATTTAATTTGACAAAATAGGTAGAGAGACAATTTAAAAATTAAATTGGGTAATCAAGGAAAATACCGGAAAAGGATAAGAAGGGGAGAGACAAGTCCATGCTCTAATAAGACTGCATACATCAACGCAAGATGACCGTAGAATAGAGAGTAAGAAAAGTGTTTCTTCATATCTAACCAGATAAGTTTAATTAAGTTTATGCAAATTGCTGCCGTCCAAAAGTGATTCGATCGTTGGGAAATAGTTTATGCTGTTTGTACTGTACAACTTTGAAATCCAACAGTAAACATAGTCCTCCTAACGATAATAAAGTAGACATGTTAGTACAATAAAGAAATGATTGAAGCGTACTTGTTAATAAGTATAGCCATACTGGACAAGCTAGAGATGAAATAGTAAGCCTGGGTATTTACATTTCTATTAAAATAAGTACCATGGGAAGGTTTAACGCTAGGACATTATGTTAGTTGAGGCGTTTACTATAATGATAACCTTCGACTTCCTGCTCTGTAGCCGTCATTGACCTTGTTGCATAACATGGCATAGTGCATACAGGATGACATCAAATTACAGATGTTAGTCAACTGTTCCACATGTTATCTGCGGAAAAAGTTTGTTGAAACTATTATTAGGTTCATACCTTAACCTATTCCGATATCATTATTTATATTAGTAACTTAATTGTTCGTATTGTATGTGATATTGGGTGTCAATCCGACTATGTTTGGTTTCACAAGATAGCTGTAGATAAGAGATGTAAAAGAGATGGTAAGTGGCGAATACACTTTTATGCTGTGCATCAGTGCAAGCAGATGCGAGAGAAGCCACTCAGAATCCATGTGCTCAAAAGTCGCCACGCACCACAAAGATTTTTGCTGTTCATAAATTGGGCATTTTGCTGCGATAAATTACATAGGACCTCCATATTATATAATTGAAAATGGCTGTTACATAGCAGTAATAATTAGCACAATCTACAAAATACAGAACACCGACATGCATCATAAAACGGTTGAACGGATTATTCATTAATTAACTTATCAAACCGATCCGTTGTCTTTCATTGTCAAATTGCAAATTAAACAGCTTGTTTGTATAGTTGGAAACAAGTGGAATGGAATAATGAATTGAATAAATGAACTGGAGGACAAGAAGCGAAAGAAATTTAGCTAAGCACGAGGTTGATAACAATGAATTATTTAAGGACAACGACGCCTTTAAGCAATGAACAAAGAGATGAGACACAGAAATAATTGGCAGAGACAACGACAATCATTGTCTGTGAACAAAGCAATAGTATCACTAATCAGTTATTATTATAAATTATCGGACTGAAATTTGGTACAACATCGCACCATAACATAACATATCGACATGTTAGTATTGCCGAAGACAAGGGAGGGGTAAAAGAACGAATACAAAGAATTTTCAGCAGACAACGTAAAAGAACGTAAAATACTGATTGGACGCTGATAACAATAGGTGAATAACAGAACGGATAAACAGAACATTGACAATTGTATAAATCAAGCAATGTGATGTTTGCTAATTTACAGTTGAATTGTCATACATATGTCTATACAAAGTTTTTAACCGTAAACCGACGTTCGAGCCACATTAACTTGTGATCCGAGTCCATAATCACCTAATATTTATATTAGAGTTTATAATTAAACATCTGTCAGTAATTCACATGCATATTGTATGCTTGGTCACTGTTACCAGTGTGTTCTTATTGCCCTTTCACCAGTCTTTCATTGCTTTGCGCTTTTTATTTTCTTTTGATTGGGTGGTTGAACGCACAACGTTGACCTTGTAAGAAACAGGTCTCGCCAAGGCCGATAACAATAGAATATAAACAAGAAGTTTGTGGGATTGAATACATGATATTATTCGTAACCCGTTGCTGGTACAGTTAGTTGCGATTAGAAGGTGTATAGAAGCCCTTGTCTGTTTCCACCTTGTTCTTATATGGAATGCATTCTCCAGAGTGCGCGTCAGGAGTTAGCAAACATACTTCTGGTATATTGGACGACAGTTTTCTGGAAATGGATTAATTTAGTTGCACGCGAACTGTTTTCGAGTGGGATGAAGGAAAAGTTCGGGTGTGAGAATCTTTGATGAGAACCTTAGGCTTGCACAAATTGGTAAGATTGGATAAGAGAATTTACTAACATGTAAGATATATTTGATAGAATGATACTCTTATTAAGTATTGGGTCGGATATATGATAATAATAATAATAATAATAATAATAATAGTGACGGTAACAGTAAATAATAATGATAAGAATAAGAATAAGAATAAGAATAAGAATAAGAATAATAATAATAACAATTGTTATTATAATGACGTTTACTATATGATAATATATATAATAAAGAAAATGTAAGCAGGTAAAAAAATATAATACTTTAATATTAGGATATATTAATAATGTATATTATTTATATTATGTTGCGTCAACCTATGTTATTTTAATAATTTGTACATATAGAATGCAAGATCGGCAGGTTGATATTAAGTATGTGATTATCTAAATAAAGCAGTAGTCACTTTGATATATACTGTTAACTATTGTCTACTCTACTGTCCGGCTTTTCTGCTGCACCACCATACCTGCTCCTGTGGGTTAGCGCGTCTGATGCATTTGATATTGTAATAGGACGAACGCTTAAGCACTGTCCAGTTGACGTTAGTTTTTCTTTGTTAGCGTTTATTATTTCAATGGGGAAAATACAATTGTCAGACGGCCCCGTAACAATGTAGCAAGCTTCAGATTGGCACTTTCTTGAAAAAGTTTTGTGTGTGTATGCTGATTTGATAATAAAAATTTTTTATGCTTTGTGTACTTGGTATTAGAATTAATATTGTACGTCTAGATTAGATACATATGAAATCATACAAATAAATATATTTGCAACAATATATATACGTATCTATCCGATACTGATACACAAACTCAATAATTCCATAAATTTACGATATTCCTCAACTTCACGTTCTCTAGCATTCCCATAAGGTAATTTATGATAGAGTAAATACAATGATATATGATACGGTAGGAAGGTAATAACAAAAACGGCAAAGATTGCTGTTAGCTGGGAGTTCCATCATAGTTATGTACATAATCGGCTTATCGAAGAAGCTTCTTCGCCCCGTCGATGGAACAAAGACAAATACTCGGTGACTGAATTATCAGTTTAGAGTTCGAATTAAGCTTAAGTTAATCTTCTATGGAAAGGGCACACGCGTTTGCACCAGTCACTGTCGTCATTTCCATGGATGAACATCTCATATTCAACAGAAATCTAATTAACAATGGTGCAATCATGAGCTGCATATATATTAACATACATATATATAAATATATATTATGCAGGTTAACAACATAAACTTTTCTGTAATAAGATGTCTAACAATAAATTGTACATAGTTTAACAAAGAGCCGTGATACTACCATATACAGTCATATATCACACATATCACTTAATCTAAGTACAATTTTTCTATATATTTATGTATTTATTTATATCTATTTATTTATTCACCCCTATTTATACAAAACCCCAAATCATATATATAAACAAGAAGAATATCATTCCAGCGTGAAAATGTGGATGATGCTTAATCTGAAATTACACATTCATCTCATATGAATCGAGTGTAGAGCACTTGTATATATATATATATAACTAGTGACACAGACTTCTTGCTGGTAAGGGTCGCTCCTACATATCAGATTATATATACACTGCTTTTTTGCTATCAGAACAAACGATCTCGATGTATGCAATGTTTCTTTCCCACAGGAACTTCCGTGCCCCACCTTTTAACAGAAAATTTTTTTACTCACTTTACTTTTTCACGATCATTATCATCAACTGCAAATCCGCCCTTCTAAGCTAGCTCCTACCTATTTATCAGATACCAAAAGCCCCCATGGCTATGACTATGGAGAAGACCACTTCTATCACTGTTAAAGAAGACGATAATGCCCTCGACAAACCAAAAGATTTACCGCCTCCAAAGAATGAAGCACCAGGCTCAAATATACCTCCTCCTGGCTCACCCGCCTCTCCTTCGATTTCAACCGTCTCTGCCACTTCCCCATTTCCAACTACGTCTCCGCCAACAAAGACCATGTCTGCTCCACAGTCCCTAATCACCGACCCTGTGAAAACGGTGTCGTCGGCTCAAACCTCTCCCATTCAGTCGTCTCCCGTTCAAACCTCTCCCACAACTCCTACCGCCTCGGCAACAACTTCTACAGGAAACGCTGTCAACACTGTTTCACCGCAAGGAACAACACATAAAACTCAAGCAGCATTTGTAAATAAACTGTACACGTAAGTATTCTCTACAATTGAAGGGATATGATCCTCCATTTGACATCACTTTATCATATGAATTCAAAAGATATCATTCGGAACTAACTTTATTTGATACTTTTAAGATTTTATTGTCTGAACGTTCAATTTCATCAAAGACTGTTTCAATGAACTTCTATTTTATACCCCCTTCTTCTTAATAACCCTAATCAGATAGACAGAGTCTGAAGACGCGTCTGGACCCTAATGGAGTTCCACTGTCTTTCAATTCTCTCCCTTTCCTTTAATAACAATTTTTGTATTAATAATTTTGTTTGATAAAGTCAATTACCCTCATTTATTTACTCAATTGCATTGTAACGTTTTTTTTCTTTTTTTTTTCCCTCCTATCAAACAGAATGGTTGAAGATGTATCGATACAGCATTTGATTGCATGGGCACCTTCCGGTGATGTGTTCAGTGTCTCCAATCCAACCGAATTCTCCAAAACTGTCCTTCCACAGTATTTCAAACACAATAATTGGCAGAGCTTTGTCAGACAATTAAACAGTATGTTGACATTATACGGGGAGAAGTATATCTTGTTGTTCTTTATCACTGTTCTTTCATCTGCTGCATCAAATGACTGATTACGATCTGTTCCACTACATATTTGTCATCAATATTGGTGTTTCTGGAATGCAGTGTACGGATTCCATAAAGGTGTGTACGATCTTTCAGAAACTTCGATGCACATATTGTTGGCTTGCATGACTGTAGTTACATTTGATAAACGTATGTCGATTCCTAATCTGTCCCACTAAAATGACCTGGCTACATCCTTCCATATATGGCAACTCTAAATTGATTACAGTTAATGATATGTTTCATGCGAATCCATCGAGCGAGTCTCAAGCATGGGAATTTAAACACCCCGAATTTCGTAGAGGGCATATGGAAGCCCTACAACACATTAAACGAAAAAGTTCTAAACCACATCCTAATGCCAGCACAATGATGAAGGGAGGCATGGGAGGCACGGGAGCTAATCTCGGCTCAGCAAGCGAAAACGATGCATTGAGAGATAATAAGATAGATCAACTATCGAAGGAAGTGGCCGAAATAACGGATCGGATAAGGCGAATGAATGAAAACTACACCATGCTTTATGCCGAGACCGTCTCTTGTCGGATGCTCCAAACGAAACTTACGCTGGTACGTAAGAAATCTGATTACAATTATAGACTACCGAGTCTTAGAGACATTCGGAAGTTTCGGCATAATAAGACACTAGCACGGACATATATTTATCCTTTTGATAAGAATGTAGAATTATTAAACACGTTTTTAGAACATGTGAATTCCTTCTCCTCCCTTACTAATATCTTTTTTTTTTTTGGTTTATTTTGTTATTATTCTAACCCCATACGTAGGTGATCACAAATATTTCAAAAATACTTACATCCATGTGTCATGAAGGTATGACATTACTATTATATCGCATGGGCCGCCCGGATTAATTTGTAATACTAATGACGTCATCACTCTTTCATTAGAGGAAGGAGATCCCGGAAACATATCTCGGAAGCGAAAATTCGACGGTAAACTTGATGCACTAGATTGCCTTAATTAATTATGACCAATATTCTAATTGATAACATGCAATTGATCATCATGGTGTGTTATAGTTGATTTGCTTCAGGCAGAAGTAGCTAAACTTGGACAGAACGACGCATCTCCACCGCCTCAATCGTCAATTGCACATGCTACTCCCCATTACAGAGATGGGTTACATCAGAGTCAGAGACCGCCTTCAACACAAAACTCGGTAGTAGGTGCTGACAATACTAGTTCTCCTCATGGAACAGTACCAATGTCAGATATTGACTATGCTCGTTCCGGATATTCTGCATCGCATAGTCCTCCATCTCAACACCGCACCGTTAAAATACAACCTGCGAGTCCACTTGCGGTGCTTCCGGATTTCAACTTTCCTCCTCAACATTATCAGCAAAGCCAATATAGTATTCGGCACATATCCCCCGAACCGGTAACACCTGTGGGCGCAGGTAACGGCGCAGGTAGCAATAGCACCAATAACAATAGTTCATACAGGAGTCCACCGATTCCTCCTCCGAATCAGATGCCGGCCGCTCAAACGTCTCAATATCGCCAGACTCCATCTCAACATCATGTTCCGCCATTACCATCTTCCCATAGGCTTTCACCTCAATCATCTCCATCTTTAAGCTTTGGATCTGACAGTAATTTATTGAACCCAAGTGATAGGCAAATGGACACTCACTCAACCGTATCCCAAATGACTCCATCTCAGCAGTCTTCACAGCGTTCTCCAACAGGACCATCCTCACCTTCCTCGTCATCGTATCCGAAGGATAATGTCACTCCAACAACATCCCGACAATCGTCGTTATCAGATCCATCAGATGGAGTATCCATAGATCGAGTGATGGATTACAAAAGACGAAAACGTAGCTAAAGACAGGATTCTATACGCATACGTCAATACGGTCAAGGTATGTAACGAGACTCGGACAATAACAAGATATCGAAACATGTGCTGAAATTTTGCTAATATAATTACTCGAATCCAGTCATCGGGTTATTCACTACGCAGTGCAACGTACTTATGACAGGCGCGTCACAAATATCGGAATTCGTGAAAACTTGTAGATAAAATTTTCTTCAACTGTAACGAAGGTTGTATCATATAACGGGATACGTTAACAAGTCAATGGGGGAGGCCACGTAAAGGATGTCTGAAATTACGGTTGACTTTTTTTGACTTACAATGAGAGTTGATAATCGTTTTCGGTCATCTATAAATTTTTTCGTGCTATGTTAGTCACAAGGTTTATTTCTATTGAAGCATGAAAATAATCAAATAGGACAACTCGTTTATTGGCAATTGTCTGCATGGAAGCGTCAGCAGACATCGTAAATAATGTGCAGAAGCCCCTCCATGAACATTATGACGGCATTATTTCTATGCATTCATTTGTAAATCTTAGATTCTTTCTCCTTTCTTTTTGTGTGTAATTTTCGCGTTTATTTTTTGCTTGGTAAATAAATTTTCGGAAGTTGTAATGTTAGCACGCTATTGTTGCGCAGTGATATCGTAGTTAATCATGTGATGAGTCTGATTTGTAACAAAAATGTTTAATGTTGAGCCCATTCGTTCTGAGAATGTTTCAAGATTGTCACGTATTTTTTCGATGTTATCACATAAATTATGTAGTTTATTGGGTTAACAGATAATTCTTGTGTGACAATCCCGAAACGGGTCAAATCCCAGGATGGGCTCAACATTATCACCGTGAAATGGCTTCGCAAAAGCACGTCGAAGGCAGAAATAGAAGCAAAAATAGTGAGCACTTTCTGTTAATTAGTTTACCTCCCGAACCAACTGTTAAATGATTCGACTTACCTACTGAATAGGGTACTTCTCTCGCAATAAAGGACTGAAAGCAAATATAAGTGGTGTCTTTGTGAGCTGCACTCGGGGGAAAGAAGGCAAGGCTGTTGGAGAATGTTATGATCTTTTTACCCGGGTAATTGCATGCAGTTTTTTGCATTGAGAATATTTGAATCCTTAGTAATATCGATAGTCAATAAATTTCTTGTGAATTAATCATAGTACGCTAATGAACTTTACCCAATCGAGGAGGAGTCACTCGACGAAGTCGATATTGCATTATCAATTGACTTGGAAAGACAACAACTGACAGCAAAATCGAATCGATTTATGTCTATACCGATTGACGCGGGTTGTCGTAAGTGGCTCGTTCTTCTGTATCTGGCATCTCATATCCATTCGTTCTCTACGTACTGCACCTAATTTAACCTCGATCAAAAAAAAAAAAACTTCTCATTTAGGCAGTCATATTCATAAAGGTGGAAGACCCTGTTGCGCCTGTTGAGCTCGTGCACGCGATTCTGAACGATTTGGCTATAACCAGACAAAAATCAACTAGATTCATTCAACGCCTTATTCCGATCGAGAAAACGTGTCATGCTAAAATGGAAGATATTGAGTGCATGGCTAGGAAATTGCTTAAACCGCACTTTCATCCTGAAGACGAGAATGAGAAACGACAGATAACGGTGAGCACATGATTTATAGGCATTCTAAAGAACAATACTGTCAAATTCAACGTCTTTAAGTGCAAGTTGATCTAATCTATTATACATTCTGGGTGTTATAATGTGTTTGTGGATTAGTTTGCTATTCAGCCTAGGATTAGGTTCAATCAAAAAATCGTCAAAATGGACTTGATCAAGAAAATAGCCGAAGTTGTTGGGGATGGTCATGTGGTTAACTTGAATGACCCTGAGCTTGTCATTATAGTTGAAATATTTAAGGCATGTATGAGTATTTGTCAAATTCGGCATAGATTTTATCCACTTACAGTAGATGACCTCCATTTAGAACATTTGCGGTCTGAGTGTGGTCAGAGATTATAATAAGCTGCAAAAATATAATATCGAGGAGCTGTGTGATTTACGAGATACAGAAGACTCACACGGAAAAAGCTGAAGAAATATAATAATGAGGAGGTGTGTGATTTACGAGACTCTCATGAACGCGACACGGCGAGGTTAGCCTATGAAGAGGAAGCTAAAGGTGCAAGCAAATAATATAATTCTCTTTTCTCGTTTCCCTCATACTGTTTTTTATTCATTCCTTGAAAATTCGGCGCAACATTTAAATGTAATATGCTAACTAAATCTTGAACCAATATGATAGATATCGACTATTGAATATTATTGCTATTATGTATTTGATTTATCATTCGCTTAGATATTGGATGAGAATAAACGGTTAATTTAATCAAACATAATTTAGCAAAGTATCTTTTCGTCCATCTGACAATTCGTAACAATCTTACTGACCAAGAGAAAAGCATGAACGCCGTACCCGTCGCGCAATGTCCGAAGTAATAATTGGTATGCGTGCATAATTGTAATGCGTGCTTGCGTCTATTATCAATCCAACTGGCTATCTGGACAACGTGTTTCGCCGATATTATAAAATGATCGAAATACTCGAGTACGGGCTGACTTAGTGTCACGCATATTCGGATTAGAGTAATATTCATATACGCGTGATTGCATACTGTAAGGAATCAGCTTACGAAATAATCTGATAACTTAGGACTTCGAATTCCATATGTGACAAGTAAAAACCGAATAAGAGGAATAACGCTTCAAATTCAAAAAACAGCCTTGTATCCCGACAGATACATTTCAAGACATATTCCTGTAGTTGATCAAATGGTTCATGTTCGCGCATTATGCCGAGCTGAGACCATGTTAATTCGTCGTCGCAACCAGCTTGTACACTTGCTTATGAGATAAACCAGAACGTTGTCAATAACTCAATTCATCGGCAGTAATGAGAAAGTTCAAGTAATGCCCGGGTCTCCACTGTACCAGATTTATTCATAGACAAATCCGTATTAATGCAGTAAAAGCAATCCCATCGAGAATGTAATCCAATATTATTGGTCTTACTCGAATACAGCAGCTTGATAGTCTTTCGTAAATATAACACGCTGTCTTCCTTGCCCAACACCTTCGAAAATGCAGCATTGAACAGGCTGACCTTGCTTTCAAGTTGCTGAAGTGAGCCTAAACTTGCTCTATCTTATTCACTACTCTAAATATAACGTCGTGTATCATACAATTTTTTGAAATCTACAGAAAGATCCCGTAGGAAACCAGAGCTGAATGCAGCAGACAAGCGGCGGACCCTGGTGTTTCGTTTTTTTATTTTCTAACTTGTATTAAGAATGAGAACATAAGACAATCATTGTATATCTTTATCTACTTTACTGTACATTAGAAAAATAATAATAAGAAAATATATAAATAAATGAAATTACACTAATCCCGATCTAAATCACTTTATCACCACCCCAATCAAATCCTTTATGCCAGCAACCTAAAGAGCAACCAACAATATAATTATCGCGTGCCCACCTACATTAAAACACCGAAATGACCTATGTTAATATACCTTTGCTGATATTCCTTATTCACTTTTTAAGTGGGGGAATCCTGATGCGATTCGAATGACGTCATCTTTCCTCACGGTTCGCGTTTTTACCAAACAGCTGTGAGTACCAACAGATGCGTTCTGCTGTATTCCTCTTGTGAGCACAAAAACTGTGCTGGAAGTTTCGCTTTTTGCTCTTTGAATCGCAAGCTTACTGTTTGCTTTACGTAAAATGGATGGCTTCGTCAGTTTAAAAAACGCCACAACTTAAAGCAGATTCGAATGCATGGTGAGAGTGGTTCTGTGAATGAACAAGTAATCAGAGAAATCATTACCGATTTTAAGCAGTTAACAAACAAGTATGCATGGAAGGACATATATAACATGGACGAAACTGGACTTTTTTCCGAATGGAGCTGGATACGACATTAGCAACTCAACAATTATCAGGTAAAAAAAAATAAGGAAAGATTATCTGTGGCTCTTTGTTGTAACAGTGATGGTTCACACAAGTTAAGCCACTTGTCATTGACAAAAATGCTAAACCTCACGGTTTCAAGAATGTCAAGCTTGAAAATCTTGGAGTAATGCATTGGTATAATAAAACAGCTCGGATGACAGCTACGTTATTTTGATCAACAAACGCAAAGCCGGCAAGCTCTCCTTGATAATGCTCCAAGTCATGTAGTCACTGGTGTGACATTAAACAATAAACCCATCAAATTTTTACCACAAAACACAACATCGCGATTACAACCTTGTGATGTAGATGCAGGGATAATTGCATCTTTTAGGCACATTATTTGTGCGATATTTGTTGAAACAATTTGAAAATGAGACATCAGGTAAACTATCAATTCTAGAGGCAATCTTGTTTATCCAAGAATCATGGCAAGAGAATATAACAGTCATGACAATTGCCAATTGTTTCTGACATGTCAAAACCTGAGATGATGATGTAGTATCAGAGGTAGAAAGTGATAATATTGAAGATGAGCATGAAGTTATAAAAGTGATAGGTCAAGATTTACAGTTATTATGCTATCAACATCCCATGAAAGTCCATGATTTTTTAAACCCAGAAAATGAAAATGTTAATGAACAGTATACAGATGAAAGTTGTTGAGCTTTTTGCAGTGAGAGAGAAAATGAGGAAAGAGACATAGCAATAGAGGATGAAGATGAGAGCTCAGAACTTCCATCTGTATCAATTAAAGAAGCAACAGAATCACTTAACAAATTAAACTCATGTTTTTTTAGTTCAGGAAGGTAATCATTCAAAATATGTTGACAATATAATGAAGGTTGGCTGTGTATTAGTATTAGAAAATATTGGAGGTAAAATCACTAGTACAAAAAGATTTGAATGATATTTTGTTGTAGACGAGAATAGGAGTTGCAATCAGGGAATGCAAATGATTTAGAAAGTGAACAATTAAGCAGTATCAGTATTAAATAAAGAAACTTTTTTTGCATTAAACTGGCTGTTAAAGACTGATTAAACTTAATATTACAGTATGTGCGTTATCATACAGCACAAGGAAAACTGCTATAATACATCATGTGATATTAATATTGCATTTAGAGATTATAAAAATCGCTTGCATATGCATTTAAAGGATGTATGCAATAATAATAATGATCAAGTCCAAACTCAGGATCAGACAGCTTTATGTATTTAGAGGAGTTATGCATATACAGGGTAATGCATCTGACTGTAGTTTTCAAATTTTATTTGCAGTATGTCATCAAATTCTCTATGTTAGAGTTATACAGCTCCCTGACTGTATTTGTAACAAATGAATACAATCACTTCATTGTTTAAATCCAGCATAATAATAAATTGTGGTCAAACAAATCAGCTTACACTAGCCATGGGGCTTGCCTGCATTATCGTTGAGAATTCAACACCCCCTTATTACTTATGATGCAATTGTTTCCGTCCACACAAAAAAGCTTTCAAATCACCGCCAAAATCAACGATATAAGAAAATATTTAAAAACTTTGCTTCTTCCTTCCGCGCAAATATATTGCAAACCCGTTCAAATATATTCGCGACAAAGGTATAGCATTTTCATCAAAGCGGTAATATTTTTAGTTTTTTAATAACTACGTGTATTCATTACGTGTATACATATAGTTCAACGTTCCAAAATCGAAGAACTTGCAAAAAGAGCGACACAAGTATGTAAAATTTAGCAACTCTGTGCGTGGACCTTGTCAATTTATATTGATCGATATTCTTCTCTTAGCAATTGAAGAACTCCCACCTTTCCTTACTACGCGCGCCACGGCTTCTTTGGTCCTCCGGGCTTTAAAAAAAGACGAAAACATGCGAGCTCTCGTGTTCCAATGGAATCCAGCAGGATTTAACGATGTTGCCGCGGCACCAGGATTACGAAACGGTGTTGCGGGTCAAAACTTGGCTGCAATTATCACAAATCTTACGGAAAATGGAGCAACAAATTATGGCAACATTGTATTTACATTTAGAAATGGTTATGCTATTGGCGATTGGATCAGACAAATGCGTGTTAATATACCATGGTATGAATAAAGTTTGATCTCTATTTTTCAGATTCTCTAGGCTTAACTTTCTATTTTGTGAAGGGCGATAAATCAAGATGGAGTCCCAAATGTCATCACAACAGCCATCAGGATTAATCGGATCACTGAATGTGAAACAGGCACACCCTCGACCGCATTTGATCTTGAGGCGTTCGACGGAATTTTTCGCTGATATTACTGCATAGCCTTGACGCAAATTTAACAATGCCCAAAATACAAGTCAGCAAGTGCTAATCAAGAAGTGTGCCATATTAGGCGTGCGAAATAACGAGTAGTTCGTAGTTGCGTTATCCCCAACGTTATTAAATCAATAAAGTCTTTATTTCATAATTGTTAGAATGGTTTTTATATTCTAAATAAAAAACGCGTGCTAGATGGCAAAGTTATTTCGTTTATTCTTTAACATCGCCGGTAGAACAACTCCATTGACTTTTACAGAAAATATGTTATTGGCGTGTTTTGCACCGCAAGCGTTTTTTTTTTTTGTTTGTCTATACGAACAAATAGGAATGAATTATTCCGTAAATTAATGTTGATTGCCGAGAAGCGGAACAGAAGTAGAAGGAAATAGTCTTATGGTCGACAATGTTAATTGACTAATCTCAATCCATGCGGCCTTCAACGACTGTCTGTTGATACTGCTAGGGGAGTAGTGGAAACGTCGCATGTACCACTTTAAACATCTATTGTCACTGCACAACGTCCCTCCTCCTATCAAATTATTGATACTGTATTTCGAGTTATTGATAAAGGAACGCATTTAAAAGCATCAGAAGGGTACACCGGTTTATTTAACATCATGCTTAACAAACAAGTAACTGAAATAAGGATCGGACCAAGTGCTCAATGGTTGGAAACCGTCAAAGGAAGAGAAGTAAAAAGAATGAACGAAATTGTTTCAACGCTGCCACTTTCTTCTCTAAATAGGCCAATAAATTTTCGACTAAATTTAGGTCAGGATTTGGCCATGATAAATAAAGAACAACTATTTTTTGTTTCTTAAAAATCTCAACGGTGTATTCGGCAGTTGCCATTCTGAAATATTAACGCTCTATCTCCAAGACTTCTCATGATAGCTACATAAACCATGGCCGTTCAAGCATCATTAATCTTTTCAATGAAAGTGTATTTGAAGATAATGCCTTATTACTCATTATAATTAAAAAACTATGGCTGCATACCCGTAGATAAAGTTTTTCGATTGTCCAAAATTGATAATAAAAAATTATGTTAGTGCCTGTTGGTGCTCACGATTATTAGTTAGGTGATATATTAATATAGGCCGGTAATTTATTGTGATTGACCTGACTAGAGCGAAAGAGGAATATCCTTAGAAATTAGATAAATAAATAAATAAATAAATTTTATAGCTGCAAGTCTTCATGTGTAAAAACTGAAAATTTTCACTTGTTTAGAAAAAAAAAAGTATTGAGCAGATGAGTCGGAGGAAGTATTATCATTGTATTCTGACATTACTCATGCGAGATTCTTGCTTCGCGAATAGTCAAAGGTGCTGATTAAATTGGAAGACTGGGTTGATTCTTAAATCAAATAATAAATAATTTCAACCATAAGTATTAACGCTTCAGAATTAATAACACACCTCAGATACAACATCTAATACTAATATAATTATTACGACACTTAATCTAAACCAAAGTCGTACGCAAGCAAATTAAACGTATGTTACATGTTTATGATTAGTTTTTATTTAAATGGTCCTTCCCACATCTGCCCTCACTCGTTAAAAGAAGGGTGCACATACTCGTCATCACTCCAAAGATCATTTCTTTGGTCCAAATATAAAAGGAATGAATGACACCTTCCCGTCAGCCCAGACCTAATCGAAATAGAATTTAGCATACCACACAATTTACTCGAGCTTAAAACATGATCTACACATACCAGACATAGCAAAGCACCTCTAATAAATTGCTTTGCAAAAGCCATTGTAACTGATGTAGGAGATTGTTTCTCTTCGGGGACGTCTTCCAGTGAAAGCTCGGGCTGACTTCCATATGGACCGCGTATATATCCAAGACGAGTTAACAAGCTTGATCCAGATGGAACTTCCGTCGGAGCTTTTACTTGATAAACAACTAAACATCTCTTGTCCTCACAATTGACAACGAGACGCTTACTACTCGGATCTATAACCATGTGACGAATTTCGTCGCCGAGACTGTCGATAGGTGAAGTGTTAGTAGAAACCGAAATAATGCATAAAGCTGCCCATTGAACAACTTACTCTTCTGGACCAATGGTCATGTAGTCCTCTCGAATCTCAACATCGTCGAATGGTCGCCATTCTCTATGTAGACTTGGATCTATGACCAGTGTGTATACTTTCGTATCATTCGAGCATGCCATAAACAGCGCTCGACTATTGCTTAACCAACATGCGGTCTAATGAGTAAATACTTATCAGTTTATAAGGTAAGTATATCTTGCTAGAGATTCATCATTAACATTGGATAGAATGTTCCACATACCTTTACATAGCCTTCAGATGGACTTCGAAAGATTACTCGTATCCATTCACTGGTTTCCCATAATATACAATAACCGCTCCTACATACAAGTGGTTATTCAGGGTACGTTAATCCAACTGTTAACAATCGTAACGGATGTAACAGAACTGTGTGCAATTGTACCCACAACGTCGACGAGAACAGATATGTTCCATCTGAACTCCAATTTAATACTACAACCGTGCCGGAACCCTTTAATGGCATGCTCGTGTTAAAAGCCGTATCCCATATTACGATAGATCCGTCTATAGAACCCGTCGCCAGCAATGTGATGGTCATCTATTAAGGAATCAATGTGCGAATAGAGTTCTCTCACAAAGAAACAATTCCCAAAGGATATCTTCCTTTCGGATGCCATGCAAGCGTAACAATGTTGTCATGTCCTGGATAATTAAGATAATGCATCCACGCTGACAGCGGTGCAGTAATTCCGCCCTCGTCTGGTTGCCTTATGTTTTCGACACGAAGTGACAATTCCCACAAGCATAACCCGCGTCTTGTTCGATAGACAATCTCACGTTAAATTAAGCATCGACACGGTTTTCATTGCATTTCACGATCGTGACTCACCGACATCCAACCGCCAAAATGTTTCCACCCAACGGTTTCCACTCTATACATGTTATATCCTTTTGCAAATCATTTTCTAATACCTCCGGAAACCAATCTGAATCATTCAATGGCCATGTAAGTGAGATGAAACTTTATAGACCACAACCGATAACAACTGTGTCATACTTTCACTACGAAGATCATACAAAAACACAGCGCCCAACCGGTGGACAAAAGCTATGACAGATTTGTATGAATGCCATGTGATTAATCTTGTGGGATATTTATCGTTCTCCATCTGCAACTTTGTAAGAAAGTCTTTGACGTTGGATGCAGATATTAATTTTACTAAAGCAGTTGGTAAGGTGTCCAATGCTGCCTCCTTTAGGTTCCGTACGGTATCATTGATAGTTGTCCTTAACCATACAGCTGGACCAACAACGGGTTGAACTATGTGTTGTTCTACGATTTCTGTGACAGGATCGCGACGAGGCAACCGCCGAGGTGTCAATTGGGGACCCGATGAATGAAGCTCATGGAAGGCGAAGTCGTAGGGTAATTTTAAAGCAGGATATAATACACCCTGAATTGGAATATTCTGCGCATTAATGAATTGAATATGAATATTTGAAAACTTTTCAATGTCCTTTACGCGTACCTCGGCAAGTGTATATACAGTCAGTCTTTCATCTTGAACATCACCCAAATGGACTTGAATTTTTTTAAAATGGAATAAATCAGAATTGGATAATGAATTGTCGCGTACTTTGAGTTGAGATAGACGTCATACCTAGGCACCCGTTCACTTCAGCGACGGTCACCTCGTCCTCTTGTGGGTGACCTTCCTGGGAGAGCTCTACGCAGTTCAAATTTTATGTTGTTACCAATATTATTCCTTATAATAAGGTTATCGAGATTTGGACCTACCACTAATGTCTATCATATCGTTTTGTGTGAGACCCTCCAAGATCCAAGCTTGCTATGAAAATCAAATCACATGTACGCTATTGTCAACCGAAAAGTGATAATCATGTGATTTCAAAATTAAAATAGTAACAGTCATATAAATACTCTAGAACAAGCCATTGTTATCGAAAGTCTCGATCCAGATATATGACATTCGTTTCCTTCATTATATCTACGCCTGCGAATCGAGTGTTTATAGAGTAGCATCCTTACAAATATTAAATAGATGTTCCGCATCACATATTAATATATCGCAGAGCACATCGTTGTTTAGTAGAAATGAACAATGTTCTTCCTGCGTTAATGCAGTGTCAGCTAGCGTAAATCGTCGCTGTCGTAAAATCCTTGCTTAGGAAAAAATTATTATTGAGGCGATTCGAACGACATCGTCAATATTGTCCTTTGAAATTAGTCATGAACTCTGTCAATAATAGTTGATTCTGCCTACGAGATCCGTCAATACTATTAAATTCGCCATTGGCAGACAATTTCGCGTGACATCATAAACGGACTAAATATTACTTGATTCTGTCTATCATTAGAGAATTAAGCGACGGTTCCGTACAGGCTTGGATAGAGATGGTGAAATGGCTGGTTGTTCTCGCCATCCAGAAAATACATAATGAAAACGAGTATCAAAATTTCTTAAAAATCCACACTAGATAAACTAGCATGATACAGCATTTGTCTTTATTCTTGGTAATACAGAAATAGTACAAACGTCTTATTTGCCTAACCGTCATGATAGCCAACAATCAATCTTACCATGCTCCCTCTCATACACCAGATCTATGCACAACTTTACGAGAATTCTTGTATTGAAGAGTCTCTTGTCGGACCAAAATGTCTAATGCACGTCTTACAATTATATCGGAATAGTTCTACAGGGGCAGAAATACCTTTCGTGTTACGGAGGCTTCAAGAAAATTCAGACATGGCAACAGATCACAATACCTTCGAGAGTTCCTTTATTAATGTGGCGGTTGACACACTTGACCCAACAGGAAGACGATTGCGAACATCCCTTGTGACGTTTTGGACTTCGAATATCACTTGTGGCTGTGTTAAGCCCTCAACTATCGAGTGTATTTGATGTCAATTTCATAAATGTGCTATTTGACATGACTTAAGATTAAAAACGTAATAACCTTCTCCAGTCTGTAAAGCATCCATAGTCGATCTCTTGAACAGGCGTATTGCTTCATCAACGTGTTCTTCGGTAGCGATTGGTGACAGCGTCAACTTTGCTAAAGCTTCTGATATTCGGACAATAGCTTCTAATTGTCTGCATTAATTAATGATAGTTTAGTCTACGAAATAGTCAGGAAATGATAAAATCATATGACACGAATTGCACCTTATTGTGATTGGAATCGATGAGCGCTCTCTCATATCTTGCTCAACGCGTCGAACTTCACTCCGAATAGAGACAAAATGGCTACTCAGTTTCTCTGCAGCTGCAGCACTTAATCGAGGCGCACATTTCCTGTTTCGAAAGACAGTTTAGTAAAAATCGGGATATGTATTGAATAATATTTGACGACAGTATAGAAAAACATATTTTACGTTCGACAGTAAGCAATGTACTTCCTCATTTTCTCAATATCTATTTCACCTTCTGCCGATTGCGGATTTGCGCGATTCATATGCACCAACATTACATGTCTTGCTATTGTCTGTCAGAGCGCGTATCATTTAGAGAGTTAGACAACATTTAGTAATATGACAAAGTCTTCATTTCATTACCCGATCTCTATCTTCCTCGTGTTCATCCTTGACGATAAATATCATGTCAAATCTCGACAAAATAGTAGCTTGAAAATCGATATTCTATTCATGATATAAGGTATCAGTTACAAGTCATCAATCACACACAACTTAATAACAGATGCCTTCATACCTCACCCGGCGTCTTCATATCATCGTAACGACCAAAGATAGGGTTAGCAGCAGCAAGGACTGAAGTGCGTGAATTTAATATTGTAGTAATGCCAGCTTTTGCAATAGATATTGTTTGCTGTTCCATTGCTTCATGGATAGCAACTCGGTCCTCTTCGCGCATCTTGTCAAATTCGTCTATACATACTACGCCGCCATCGGCTAACACCATTGCTCCTCCCTCAAGATGGAATTCGCGCTACAACGAAAGTGCATGATAAATATTATATTAAAAGCAAACCGTTATTCGAAAACTAATTATTATACTCACTGATCCTGCGTCGCGTATTACAGATGCTGTTAGACCGGCAGCACTACTGCCCTTTCCTGAAGTGTATACGGCAACCGGCGCCACCTATTCATTCAATTACGATCAGTTAATTATACGAATAATCCGTTTACGGAAAGTTGATTTACTTTGATGACAGGTGACCTTTTCGACAAACTTTAAAAGCTGACTCTTGGCAGTACCAGGGTCTCCCAAGAGTAAGACGTTAATGTCTCCTCTTAATCTCATATTATCTGGTAGGACCTTCTTGCTGCCTCCAAATAATAAGCAGGTCACGGCCTTTTTAATATCTGATAAATTTTATATCGTTGTTTGAGTCTCTATAAATATAATTTCCTTGCGATTTCAGTATACCATTACAAACGTCAAAAAATTTACCCGTATTTCCATAGATAGATGGCGCAATACTATTTGCAAACGTCTCATAGAAATGTGGCTGCTTTGACATGGCAATAAATTCCTCTTGTTCTTCAGGCGTAAAGGATTTTTCTCCGCGTCCATACGAATCAGCATCAAGTTGCATTCCAACCACATGAATATATGGGTTACGGATGGCGACCCCGGTAGATTTCTAATAAATAGAAGCGTTCGTGGACAACAAAAAAATTTCCATAGATTCACTTCTCACGTAGTTAAAGACTACTTCGTTAAACGATTCTTGCTGATTTAAAACATACCGAAGATTTATTTTGAAAAATGTCATAAGTCCCTAAGACAGCGACACGTGTTCCCGGTACGACCAGATTAGTTAAATCACTAGATATTTTTCAAAAAAGTTAGGTATACGTTCATTTTACGTAAATACACTTTTGCTAATCGCATGTTACCGGTCACAGCTCAGCAGCATATGGCGGGGCAAGTCTCCGACAGGTACTAAATCTGGTGCCTCTTGCAATTTCAGTATTTGTTGATCTACAAAGTTTGATTTGTCGTGCACAATAAAGAATGGATCTAAACCACATTCTTTAGGACCTGCTTCAGTCCGATCACTTGCATGAAATAAACAAGCATTGTCATCAAGCTTATTTTTTAACGTTCGTCAACATGCTATGCAAATGTAAGCAATACCTGTCACAAGTACGCGGTAACGTTATACCCGAGAACCCACTGTGTACGGACAGCATCTTCGTATGTCGGCAAGTTTTACATTTGATTTGAACTTGCGTAGCCTTTGCCGACAATGATGAAGCAGAGATAATGATTCCCCGAATCCTGACTAGCTTGGATATATGATGTGCCTACAATTTACACGAGTTATGACATGCGTCTTGTAAAAGCACAAAGTTTGGTTGAAACCCACATCAAGATGACGCATCTGCATTGTCGCGTCTGTTTCGCATCTTAGAATAACTTGCAGATTACGTAGTTCTTTGGGTAGCTCACTATTGGAATCATCTTCTTCGCGTTCTTCTAAAAGAATCTTTCTCGCAACCTTCTGTGCAGCAGTTTCGAACTAATTCAATAATGTTGTCATCAATAAGTAACTTGCTGATAATATGTAAAAACAAACAACAAATTTCTGTAAATTTACCAGTGGTAATAATTCCCGTGGCCTATTGACAAGCTTCTCTTCAAGACCTTTTTGTAAATGAGAATTTATCAAGTCCTCTAGAACGATTTCAAGATGATATTTCTGCACATGAAGGTTTCGACGAAGTTGTTCTCTACACATCATCACCAAGGCATGTACAATTAGTGCTTACATTTCAGCCTTTTTCTCATCGATATACGACATCGAGATTGTTAGTTTTGTACCTGTATATGAATTCCGCTCCAACTCTGTAGTTCTCTACGAAATCCGAAAATTTATCTTCGAGTTCTTCTAGAGAGTCTTCACGACTTCTCGAAGAGTTGAGATTTGACCCATATATTTGACCAGAGTCCCAGCCGATTGTTGACATTGTACACAAGTTGTAGTATTAACCAAGGGATTGATAAGAATTCAAAGTATTTCTGTAGAAGTTGACAGACTATCTGCAAAATCTTGGAGAAATGTTAGTCGCGACGCGATTCATATCGTGTAACGTATGATCAGCGTGAAATGGTTTTAATTATTTTATCTTTTAGGTCGTATAATATTCGTATAGTCCCGACGCCTTTGCTGAAATTCTCACGCAAACTCTTTCGATCCTTATTCTGAAACCTTAGGGAGAGACTGTATCAACCAATCGCGACGTTCTGTCGAGAAAACGAGAAATCACGTCTTTTAGACAATCTTTCAACAAGTGTCATTGTACTAGTGATGATATCAAAAAGGAAGTGGTTCAATAAATGTTCAGCAGATAAATATGTAAAAATGCTCGGATCAATAAAAATCAAGGAATGTATGTATCCTGGTGGCATATTACTATTCATATGGAATGAAGGCATGAGGCAGTTATGGATTAATTGAAAGCGATAGGTTTGTTGCTATTCAACATTATTATTTTATTGGATGAAGGAGAATTACTATTCTATTCAACAGCAACCCAATATTAATATCCATTAGTAAGCAATACTTTTTGGTCCTTAATTATAATTGTTATTATTTTGTATTGTCTATGAATTACATTTTAATGTATGATTCATCATCAGGGAATAAGTACTTTAATAAATCTAATTCTGAAGTTGCTTGGCAAGAACAACGTAACGTCGTCTGGTGTAGAAAACATTAGTAAAAGACTTAAGTCAGAAACGCGTCAAATATGTCATAAAGTTTCAATGTAAACAGTAAATGGATTATCCAATTACTCGACGGAAGAAAAAGGTGCAAGTTCGCGTAATCTTGCGATCGTTCTCACTTTAAGAGATCAAAACAATCCATCCAATTACGAAATAAAATAAAACCAATGGATACACGGCCAGAGCACGACGATTGGACAGATGTGATGTGGTGAGAAAATTAACCGAAGCTGAATAGCAGGAAAGTGTTAGTTGTCAAAAAATAATTTACAAAAAATGACGAAATCTTCACATTCCTACCATAAGATGACCATGCAAATGCCAAAATCACAAATGGTAATCTTATAATTATTCTCTTAACAAACAGTGAAACCAATGCTACTATAACAAGAGGGAAAATGCAATAGCCGAGAATGCATACAGATTGGAAAAAGGATCTGTCAAGGTACAAGGAAACAAAAAAGCGTTAATGACGCGGAACATGCTTTGTAGAGCTCGCATCTGAAATACTTACATTGAGCCACCAAGTAGTTTGGCGTTGATGGTAATAATAATAGCACCACACCACACGATCACAAAAGTCCCTGTGAACATGGGAACTTCCTGATCTGCAGGCGCTGTAACACTCAACATTCTATCCGGTGAAGAAAACATCATTTCTAATGTTATGAATAAAATTTGATTCGAAACGATATGGTTACGCAACTACAAAATCTTCCAAGAATGCTTACATTGCCAACGACAGGCATAAAATCAGCGGTCCCCATAAGTCCCCTATGCAAGAATAAGTATAAATAAGTTATGTGACACTCAAAGCAAAATCATGTTATTGGCAGCTCGATCCTGACTTACAATCACGAAGGACGTCCCTTTTTGCGTTTGGATGAAGAACTTGCTGCAACTTCAATGCAACATTCCGAAGATCGCGAAGCTAATTGAAACCAACATGACACTAAAACCTTAGTTCCACCTACAAATTAATCACACCAGCGCATCCTTCAACATTCTCTTACTCGTAATAGTTCTATGCCCTCTCGTTTTCCCAATCCTTTTCTCACTCAACGTACAATAGTTTCAGATACTGGTTCATCCAAAGTATCACTAACAAATCTTCTTCCTTCTGAACTCAGCCCTCTACCTCCTATAGAACCTGAGACTATTGGTGGCGGTGTTTCTATATCCACCACAGTCGCCGAACTGCTCGCTTTTCCCGTTACCTTGCGTGTTGGGGGAGGAGCAGAAGATCGTGAAGCTGGTGGGGTACGAGTGTCCCCGAAAGGGCGATTGACGTCGTCGGCATCAGGTTCTATGGTAGTAGTGGCGTCGTCGAGTTCGAAAGGATTAGCATAAGACGCTGTATTGGAATGTAGCGGGGAGGAGTGTTCGTCTACTGGAGAAAGCATACTGGGAAGTGAAGGAAAAGGATGGGAATAAATAGGAAAAACAACGTGAAAATAAAGTAAGGAAACGACCCGACTATGGGCTTACCTCGAATCTTGTCGTTGTAGCTGAAAAAGCCAGTGTTAGAATTTTATTTTAACATCAAATCTATTTCTCAACGGCAAAACACGTGATTTCAGTTCTTAACGCTAACATAAATCACGGGATTACCCGAACGTTAGAGCTAGAATTGAACATTTGACCATGTGAGTTAAAAATTGCCACAGCTGTGGCCCATGGTTGAGATATCTCTATATTAAAAATATTTAATATCAAGTTCAAAATTTTCAGTACTTTAGAAGTATTTTATATTTGACGACGTGATATTTCAGTTATTGTGGAAAATTTCCCCCTCCTAATCAAATTAGTTTTATATAATAATAGTGCATCCATACATAAAAACTATGTTAGCGGATGAATAAATTGTGTAATTTCGTCCCATATTAATATAGTGGAGGGTAGTGATTATAGTTTATCCAGATTAGAGCAAAGAGGTTTTTCTTCTTGTTATACAGGAAGGATAGAAGTGGCCACGAACATTCAAAAAGCGTGTTGCCTTTACTGGAGCAAACGTAT